AAAAAAAATCAAAGTAAGGAATTTTGTAGCACTTTCACCATGTTTGGTGAAAGACACCTTCAAAAAAGACAAATGTGGGCATTTCTGGCTTAATTCTGGCATGAGTGATTCTCCTGTGTTGCACTGGTATGAGCGGATTCTTCTGTATCTCGTATTCACAATTTTCAGACGTTGTGTATACAACTGGCCATGATGACACAGACAAATTTGTAGTCCCCTGTCCTCAGAATGCTTGCTGATAGAGAGGAAGTGATTTCACAAAGATCTGATAAGCCTTTTGCATACAGTAGCATGCAATTAATAAAAAATACTTTCTTTTGCTGCAAGCATCCTCAGTATGCTTTGCTCCTATCTAATAAGGAGGTACTAAAACAAATACAACTTTCTGTGATTAAGACTAGTTCTAGCTGCCAGGTAGTGAGGAACTTAGTCTTGTCAGCTAATGTTGCAATGGAATAGAGATCATATCATTCCAGACCACAAGAAAGTTCTTAATTGTTATTGCATGTAAAGGTATGGCTCTAAAAGATTAAACAATTCTTTATTAGTATTCAATATTTTTTCAGATCTGTACTTTGGCTAAAATACAGCAGTAACAATAATTGTACATATGGAACAAATACAGAAATCAGAGTAATGCAAGGTAGCATATTTGCAATTATGGATGATTAAAGTTTAAGTTGGGAGATCTAATTCTTTTAGCCTCAGAAATGTGGACTGGAAAAATACTGACATTTGAGTCATAAATTGTTACCTGTTTCTTTGTGAAAGTTTACACTAGAACTCCTTTGGCTGAATTAATATGGAAGTCCCACAGTAACCAAAAACCAGTGTGAGGCTGAGGTAGAACAAGAGCTCAGCAGGGAGGTGGTGAGTGGAGGATGCTCTTCCAGTGCGCGTACAACGCTTGAGCAGTTGGGCTCATACTTGACCAGAGGAGATGACGGCCTACGTCAGAGTGGTGCATGGTGTTCTCTACTTTATCACCAGGAAATTTATGAAAGGTCTACATTCAAATTCCCTGAAGCAGGACAACTACAACACCCCTTGGGTAAGAGAACTTCCCATTGGAGAACCTGAGTTCATTCCTCCTTTTATTTTGGCACTGTCAGTTTGCTCATTCTTGTTTTGTGTACCTGAAGTCATGGGACAGCATTGCTACTGTGGTAAGTTCTTCTGGTATTGCTGCAGCCGCAAGGAGGGAGTGAGTGATAACCTGGTTATTAATTGCTGACTGGATACATGCAGGAGGAGAGGCGGGAAAGAGGATTATTTTCTTGACCATCTTTCTAGTTCGGACATTAAATGGGTTCTGGGAGTTTGTTTGATGCAGACTTTTTTCTCTCCAGTTAAGGAATGTGGTGTCTGAGACCTGCCCTTGGAGAGAGGATATTTCTTCTTAATTTAGCTCTTGCTAAATTATTTGTGTTTGTCATTAATTTCTCACTTTTTTTTTTTCTGCAACTAGTCTGCTCCAACTTTGTATATATGAAAACCAAAACAGTAGTGCAGATTTCACTTGTTATGTGACAGTGTGTCTGTGATTCAGGACATAACAAATGAGATTAGTCTCTCACAGAGATGCTTTTGCAGATATTGAGGCACTGTTTGCATGTAGCTTCTAATTACAGAAATATTGCAGCTCTGACTTTTTTTTAGACATCCTCCATTACAGCTGCCGATACATACAAAAATCACTCGTTAAACCCTTTTCTGCTCTTTGATATCTACATGCTTCCTCACATAAAAATTACCGATGATGCGCATATGTCGTCAGATACAGTTTTTCCCCTCTCTTAAGTCACAAAGAGAGGAAAAATACTAATGAGAAAAAATTGCCCAGAATCTGGCACTCTGGTCAAAGATTAATGTCTGTATGTTTATGAGAGAGAATTTCAGTTAGATCTTCATTTCCGTGGGGATAAGTTATCACATTGATAATACTACAAGGATACTGATCTTGGTCAGGAGAAAATAAGCAATTGGTTTTTACTGCACAGAGCAGCGCACCACAGGTACCGATGAGCTGACTTCTTCAGGCAGCCCGTTCTGTGGTGGCTCAGGTGTTGGGTGAGCACAGGAGTTGGGGTTACAATGGGAACTTCTCTCTTTGCTCATCCCACTCCCAATCAAAAAAAAACCCCAAAAACCCACCCAAGCTTTCCAGCCTTTGTTACCTGATTAATACCACTCTTCTAGCACTTAATTGCCATGGGTGTGAATGTTGAGTTCTGGGTGGACTCCCGTGCACGTCTTTGTTCAATAAAATGTCACTTTATTACCTCAACCACATGAAACTCTAATGATGTAAACTGTGGAAAGGTGGTGGTAGGGATGGAGTGTGCATATGTTTTCTGAGACTTTATTACGTGTTTGAACACACAAGCATTATCCTGACCCTGCTGAATCTTTATAACAGTGTCTGTTCTTTGCAGGACTCCTATCCTGAATGTCATTAAAAAATATTCTATTTTATACAATTGTATCAAGTAACTTTTTATTTTATTGCTCTTCCCAATTTGCTGCAGTCTCTATTCAGCGTAGCTCTAAGTGTTCTATTAACATCCTGCTGTTTATAATAGGCAGCAACTAAGGCACTTCCATTGTGAGCTCTCCTCCTGTTGCCTGTATCTACTAATTAATTTTTCTCTTGCTGTACAACACTTTGGGGCTTATGCCTTGTGAACAGTCATAATTAAATGTGCTGCTACTTTTAAAGGGAGAAGAAGTTAATGACGTTCTGTAATGTCTGATTGATTACAAAACTGAAGTTCCCCTGCGGTAAATTTGTTCAGATGGAAATCTGTACTGTTAATACTTTCTGACTTAATGGCTATGTTGGTGAACATATACAGCAGTATGTTGAATGTACAAATGTATAAATATGTTGATTTTTAATTAAAAAAAATCTTTTAATTACATTTCTGTCCTTCATTCCTAAACATATAAACCTTGGGATGTGGATGGCCAAGTGAAGGAGAAAGATTCTTCAGTGGTAAATAGAGGATTCATCTGGGTGACTGACAGAGGTGGTCAGATGAAAAGGGTGAATTAAGCAAGTGCAGGGTGTTAATGGAGATAAATAGGTGTTCTTAAGAACTAGGGAATTTTACTTTTGGGAAGGAGTTTTACTTTGTTTGTTACATCTTCATTAACTGAATCTGGGTTTTTACAGATTCAGGTGAAAGTGGTTACCACCATTACAGCTTTGGAAGATCTTGATCTGGCTCTGTATAGCCAAAATGATCCCTTCCATGATTACAGCTAGCGGTTACATGGGGGATCTGGTCAGTGACAGGTACATGGACATCCTGGAATAATACAAACAGAAGTACTAAAATGTTTGGAGGGAAAGGCATTGAAACAGGGATGGTGTTGATCTGGGAGCATCAGCTGGTGGTTGAGAGCAGTAAAAGCAGATGTTGTTTCAGGGTCACCTCTGGAACCAGCTAGAAAGTGAGCTTAGTCTGCAGCTTCTATACTGGGACAGTCTTTAGTTTAAAATAAATTAGGGATGGTATTTATTTTTATTACTAGGGATACCTAAGTCAACCTCAGGAGACCAAAAGCAAAGTTACTGCCAGAGCCTAGCCCGTGTCCCCAGGAAAAGGGGATTATTATATCCCTGCAGTCTGCAAATGGGGCTGGTGCTTATGTACTCTACAGCAGGCAGCTGGTGTTCCTCATCTTCTTCCTCACTGCTCAGGAGTAATGGCCCTGGCTCAGGGCAAGCCTCCAGGCCAAAGGGCCGAGAGTCACCCTCTTCCTACTTCCAGCAGAAGAGGCCAGGGCCACCACAATGGCACTATAGGACCCGCTGATGAGGGAACCCCAGGAAAGGGAGGCTGTGGTAAGCCATGGAAACCCATGTTACCTCCAGGTGGAGGCAGTGAAGGAGAAATGCAAAGGACAAGTACAGAAGAGGGAGGAATTGGTGTTTAGGACATGTAGGTGTGACCTAATTCAGCTGATCTCCAACCCCGCTCTGCTTGTGCCTGGGTCTCTTCTCCCGGCATCTTCCTTGCCCATGATATAGGGGAATCCTGTACGTAACCAAAATGTACTGAGGATGCTGGCTAGAAAGTGTGGGCAAGTGGTGGCCTTTGGGTAATGAGAAATGGGAAAATTGTATGAAACATCTCTCAGCCTTGAAAACCATCACTAGAAGGAATTTAAGAGAATGTGGCAGTAACCAGGCAGGAGGAGAAGTGGTAACCACTAGATTTGTGTATTGCCATGAGCCTGTGCATCCCGAGGGGGTGGTATGTCCTTTGCCTGCTACATCCCTCTCTCTTTCTGTCTCACATGCGGTTTGTAGGTGTGACTGTTGTCCTGGCAAACTGTAAAACAGGCAGACCTCACTGAAACTGTAGTTAAACTTTGGTACGAAAGAATCTGTCACCTAAATGCTTTGCTGCTCATGTGCTACAAATCACTTGACTCTTTGCATATGCAGATTAATCATCAGGACCTGCTGCTTGTTTCAAGTTTGTGCAAATAATATTTTTGCCTGTCTTTTTGTTGCTGCATTTTTTAGCTGAAAGTAAGTTTATATAAAAAAACAATGTCATAGACTGCTGAGCAGTAGCCACATGCCATTCAGTCAACTTGGTTTTAGTTGCAAGCAGTTTTGTAGTGCAAGTGGTATTGCACTGTTGTGGTTCTGTTTGATGTCTAAAAGCCAAATAACAGATGGGAACGTGCTCGTTCTCCAGTTTAGTTTGTGTATTAAAAACTTATGGAGTGGTCAGAAAGAAAGATGCAGAAGCAAGATTTGTGCAGTTTGGCTTGTTCTTCCCTGATTTTCAGCTCTTTCTCTGAAACCGCTGCTTTGATGGTTGGGTGGCTCTCAGCAAAAGCATAAGTTGTATTTTTTTTCCTCATTCAGGCACTTTGAAGAGAAAATCCTGGATGTCTTATGCCTGAGCTTATCTTAAACCTCTTGGAGCATCTTGGTGCCCAGGCGTTAGAGGATAGGCTAAGCCCTGAGCCAGGCAGCATCAGCACCAGTAACGCTGCAGGTTGCGAGCTGTGTAGCTGGGGAGTTGGCAGAGTAAAAATCCAAGAAACAGAGTAAGAACTGTAGTGAAGTGCTCTTGTTTTGAAGTTCAGGTGTATGTTCACTTGGCAAGGTTTCTACAGTCTTACCAGGTCAAGTTTGTTCCTTTGTCTGAAGCAAAGGCTGTGGACATGTTGGTGGGTGCTTAGGATGCTCTTGCAGAAGGTGTTTAGGATGCAAAGTTTGGAGTGGAGGATGATGCTGAAAGAAATGAAAAAGGTTAGCAGAGCAAGCATTGCTTCGTTAGTTCAGCCAGCAGGAAATACACCCTGGAGAGCCCTGGTTTGCATTTCCCCAACCATCCATCCAGTCAGTGGAGGAAAGGCAATGCAGAAAGCATAAAAAAAAAAAAAAAAAAAAATACACCACACACCAGCTGTGGCTTTTGCATGGTGGGAGTTCAGCTTGTTCTACCTCTAGACAGTGGTTAAAAAATTGTCCATGCTAATCATCCAGATGGCAACCCCTTCCAAGACAAATAATCAATAGAGCATAGCTGAGTTTTGGCAGAAATGAGCCCCAAAGGTCCGGTGGACTGCATAGGGTCAAAAAGGCCAGAGTTGCCAACAGAAAGCTGATGGCTGAATGCACAGCAGGTTTTCAGTAGGTAATGAGGCTGATAATAATCGTGCCTAAAAATCCAATAGTGGTCATGAACAACATTACCATTGCCTGTGATTGCCAGTAACCCCCTGAAGATACTGCCTTGTCAATGTGGTACTTGCATGGAGTGGGACCTGACCATCCCAGGTGTGTGTTAAAATCCTAGGAAGATTTAGGTTGTCTGGGTTCTCTGGAGACTCTGTTGTTTTAGACCAGTGCTGACAAGCTTGAAACCAGTTTGGGAAGGGTCCAAATATCTTCGCGTCAGCTCTTTGCCAGAGGAATGTATTACTTAGGCATCCACAAGACTCTGGTGGGTAAGTGGCTAAAAGGTACATCAGTCTTGGAGGAATTGTCTGGGGATTTGAGGGGGTTTTTTCAGGTTTGGTTTTTGGTTGTTTTTTTTGTTTTTGTTTTTTTTTGGGGGGGGGTGGGGGTTGATGTTGTTTGTTTGTTTGGGTTTTTTTCCAGAAATTAAAGAAGGACTGAATAAACAGGGAATTTACAGAAAATAACAAGCTACTGATGACAGCTTCAGGAGTGTCTGCTTGGTGCTTCTCTGATCTGGAGAAGTATATTCAAATAAATTGCAAGTTCGTTTTATCTGTTTGAAAGTCACAGACTGCATGCAAAGACGATTCAGTCCCTTCAGTCCCTGTAATGTACAAGGGACTCTGCAGTGTCATGCCAGAAAGCTGACAGAGTTGACAGGGATATGGGTTTTTCGACTTGCACCACAAGCAGTTCAAGATGGGGAGGGAGGAGCACAGGATGGACTTGTATCTGCTTTTTTAAAAAATGTTATGCACTGGGGGTTTATGTTTGAAAAGCAGAAAGAAGATTTTCATTTCTGTATTTTTTGATGTATGTTTAGGTTTTAACTTGTCATATCTTAGTTCAAAGCATCTCTGTGACCTGTTGTGACACATTTGTTTGTCAAGCAGAAGGTTTAGTGTTCCTCCTTCAAAACAATCCTGAAAGCTGTTGTTCTGGATAGCAGCCGCTTAGTACATCACCCCTAGATACTCCTGTGATCATGCCAGGAGTAGAAATACATAAATATAATACAATAAATAGTGAGTGCTGATTTCATGCAAAATAAGTCTCAGACAAAATCTCCTGAATCAAAAATTGTGAATCCTGAAGGCATACTTGTCTTCTGAACTGAAGGAAATGGAGTTGAACCTGCTCTAAGTTTTGCTTCATTTTACTCTCTAGTAGCAAGATTTGGGCTGAGAGGAATGGAGTGAGGACTGACAGTGCTTAATTGCTGAACTATTTTTACAGGGATAGTTTGTGAGATACTTTCAGCTTCCTTTTCACTCCAAACCCACAAACCAATGACCCCTCCCCACCAGAGCATGATGGATATTTGGCACATGCACAAGGAGTTGGGCTGTTGCTCATTTCTTATGTCCAAGCCCCTCTGGATGTAGCCTGAGACCCTGGCAGTGAGGTGACAGAGTAGTCAGTAACATTTGGTAACAGAGGTGACAACTACATTGAACTTTCTCATTTCTTTCATGCCACCAACATAACATTGATATGGTAAAGACAGTCAGGCTGCTTGGGTGGTTCTCTTCATTTTATAGCATTTTCCTAAATAAGAAAACCTTTTTTTTTTTTTTAGCCTAATATTTTGAGGCTGAAGTTCATTCCAGTTTAGGGCAATAAATTTTGTGGGCTGTGGCTTTCTTGGCCCATTCAGGCTGACATCCATCCCTGATGGAGGTAAGCTGAGGGAGGTGGAGGAAAAGCTAAGTGCAATCCATGTTTTTTTGTCATGCCATCATACTTTAGTTCTGCTATTAGATTGGATTCTAGTATTAGATTGGATATTAGGAAAAAATTCTTTATTGAAAGGGTCATTAAGCATTGGAACAGGCTGCCCAGGGACATGATGGAGTCCCCATCCCTGGAGGTATTTAAAAGATGTGTTGATGTCGCACCTAGGGACATGGTTTAATAAGCATGGTGGTGTTGGGCTTGTGGTGGGACTTGATGATCTTAGAGGTCTTTTCCAACCTTAATGATTCCATGGTATAATATGGCACCTAAGTGTTGTGTTCTCTCTGCAGCGTGGGGTCAGACCCACCTCAGAAAACTTATGTCTTGTTCAGGTATTAAACCCAGGAGCTTTGATATGCTCATTTTATGCACCACTACCTGCCATTGCTTTACATAACTGTCCTGCTGCTGTTGGAGTTCTGGGACCTCTTTGGCATACAAAGAGCTTTTTTTCCTGTTCTTTGTAACATTTGAGGGGAAGAAAACTGTAACTGAGATCGAAGAGGACCTTGTTTCTCCTTGAGTACTGGCTTGCTCTGTCAGCGAAGCGATGGTGGTGGTGCTAAAGCTGTGTTCTTGCTGACTGTACTTTCCAGCAGGTAACATAACCACGCTGTAATGAAAGCAGGTGGCATCATTGCAAGTGCGAGTCCTCACAAGTTTAACTTGGCCCACTGCAGGTCCCCGGTACTGCAGAGACAGAGAACCAGCTCTGGCACTGCAGTGGGCACATAAGTTGGAGGCAACTGTACCACATCCTCAGCTGCTCAGCAAAACCTGCTGTTTACAAGGCTGTCCTTCACCCGGCCTTTTCCAACAGAGCTTTTCTTTCAGCCAGGTCCAAGGGAGGCAGGGCACCCAAGGGGAGATCCAGGCAACAAATACACTGCTCTTAAAGCACACTGACAAAGAGATGCACCAAAGACCAGTAGAAACTTCATGTCCCATGTGCCCCACAGCAGAACAATAGCAACAGTATATGTTAAAAAAAGAGGTTGACTCACACTATCCAGCCTACTCAGTGATGCCCCCAGACAACTGCTCTTGCGCTTGACCCGTTTGCTCCATCGAATTACCCAGCCTGGCCTCAGGAGCAACACATTTCTGCTTGTTCTGATGGCACCAGTAAAGGTCACAGAACAAATCCACACAATCCGGAAGAGACTGACAGCTTTATCTTTTGCAGCATAAAGAGGTGCATACCACATGGAGGCAACATTTATTCAGGTCCATGCTTGTCATTCTACGTGCTTTCTTACAGGAAAATTTTAAAACCTGTGTATGTGCTTTCCAAGAGATGGGTACGTTTTTCCTCTAGTGTAATCATGGAGAATAAATTTCCAGCCTTAGGTAGTGCTGAAAAGAGCACGAACACTGAGGAGTTACGCTACCAAGAAGCCAATCTTCTTCCTTCCTGCTTCTTGCCCTAGTTCACCTTTGGGACATTTCCATTATGTTCGCTGTTTCCCATTATAGTATTTTAAAGTGTGTGGTCTGCAAGCTCCATTCCTGCACACCCATCACACAAAGCTGATTAATTCACCCTTTCTGAAATTATACACACTGCATCGATATGATATCTAGTGTTTCACCCCTTCAGTGGTGTTTTAAGAAAGGTCACATTACATTCTTACATTAATAGTACTTTAGAAACACTGGAAAAACCCTGCTCACAGAAAATGTCAGGGATCTCATCCAAGTGACCTGAGCTCACAACCCTGATTTTAAAAACAAACTCATCCCTGAATAATTTCAGTGTTTTAAGTATTCATTTATTATTTAAGATTTAGCATAATCCGGATCTGCTTTACAGAGTTGATGCAAGAGACCAGCTACACTGGAGAAAGAGTCCTGGGGGTGTCTGTGTCTGGTCGGTGTGCACAAGCAATCAGGAAGGCAGGGAGAGGGAGAAGCACTCCAAAGGAAAACTAAGGAAGGAATCAGCACCATGTGCCTTAGCAGATAAATTGTAGAAAAGTCATAAAAAAATCCAGAGACAAGGCTGGAGGGGGCTGGCAGAATGGGAAAAGGAACAAAAAGCCAAGACCAAGGAAAAGGAAAGACAGAGGAAAAATAAGATTATGCAAGTGTTCCCCAGTGCCGACTTCGATTTTGCCCCCAAGAGTCAAATGAAATCTCCGTCCTGCTGCTCCTCTCCCCTCAGCTCATCCCCCCTGCAAGTCTTAACGCTGCACTCTCAAATGCAGCAGTTCTCTTTTCACTCTGACCTCGCTGTGCTGGTTGCTGGAAAGGGTCAGGGACTATACCTAACTCAAGACATTTCTGTGTACAACCACAGCAGCACTATCTTAGTGGTAAGTCAAAGTTTTACCAGGCAGATTCATTAGAGAGATGACTTATTTACAACTTTAAATATATCAAAAAAGGACAATAACGAGCCTTCTTAATTATTGTGACACAGACTTAATGCCATTTAATTACTGCACCTGTACCAAAAGGCATAAGGAAAAATATAATTAAATGCCAGAATTAGAAAGAGGGGAAAAAACAATCTAATAATAGCTACTTCACCAATAAACATAAAGGTTATATGTGGAATCCCCAGAATTTCAAAGTCAAAATAAATTTGTAAAAGTGAAAAGGTTAGAGGCAGAAAAAATAATAATCAGGCAGCAAAAGGTAAATAATCCATTAATCATGCACATCTGCCGAAGCGACCGAGCGAGCGGGATGCTGGTCTGGCAGCCGAGCAGCGAAGGTGACAGCCGGCTGCAGCCCCACAGCCAGCCCTGCCCCGTGGGCACCTGGCAGAACCTTTGCTGACAGCAGCCTGGCCCATCGCCTGCTACTGGGAAAGACCACCCAGAGTAACTAGAAATAGGCACTAAACACAGTTTCTACAGGAAATGCTGTGCCAAAAAGGGAGAAGCATATGGTAAGAGACAAAACTCAGCAGGTTACGCTAGACATATGCCTATGGAAAATGAAGCCCAACTGCAATGGCAAGAACTGTAGGCAAAGGAGGGTTAGCCAGCCTGGTAACCACTGACGTGGCAGCTTCACTTCATCACCAACCTTTTTCCACTTCCTTCTTGCAAAAAAAAAAAAACAACAAGAAAACCCCCAAAAAAACCCCAAAAACATTGGCAGGGCCCCAACATGCAAGAAAAAGAAGGATGTTGTTTTTTCCGTTTAGGTTAGCACTTTAAAGCAACTTGCTGCATTTCCTTTGGATAAGTTTGGGGTTTAGATCTGTACAGACAATGACCCAAATGCTTTTAGTTCTTCAGAATGTGGCTGAGCCTTGACCTGCTGTG